TAATGTAATGGGACTTTGGGATCCATAGCTCCAGCCCCCACGCCTGCTGATGAAGACCTAGATGCCTCATGATGGACCTTCCGAGCTCCACAGGTGTGACAAGCTTACTGTTAATGATCGTCAACAGGTCAAGTACGTCACACAACGCAATTGCACCATCGACTTTGGCTGGGAGTGCCCCGCTCGGCCTGACAACTTTCAAAAGGTATTGGCGAAATACTGGGGCAGCGCTCAGAAACACACTAACAGATCCTGCTGGCGTACAGTTGTTTTTCCTACACAGCTCAGCACCATTCGCGTAACCCTTTGGCCACGCCCAATGCAGCAGGTACCTGTCCAGTTTATCACCCCCGAGGTTGTGACCACGAAGCTCTATCACCAGCTGTCGAATTTCTTGCGTTGCAACGCCGTTAATGAGATAGCAGTGAAGCCAGTCCCACACCCAACACGATGCAAGCTCTATCTGAAGGTCCTCGTCTAACATCAATGATCCAGGTACCCAATTGAAACCATGCCATCGTTCTGCATCCCCCAGCTCCTTTGGGCTGCCAGTAGCCGCCAGGTGCTTAAGCTCTGCTTGAATGTCCCTAAAATCTTGATTCGCACGGCGCTGGTACTTAGTGATGTCCAAGTCGGCAGAACTCACTTGCCTGTCGTGGTGAAGCCAGCTGGATTTGAAACTCACCACGTTTGAACATAATGCACACAATCGATGCCCCCCTGCCCCTTTGCAATGCACAGCAAATTTCCAAGCTCTTTCGTCTTGTACAATTTGGGCGAGCTTGCCAGACAGAATTCTACAACCAGCTGGGTCCCCAGGGATCGTAAACTGCACGCCTGACCTTAAATCATATCTGTCGGGGCGGCCGAACAGGAACTTCAAAAGGTGTCGAGTCACAACAGACATACCCCCAGGGATTTTGGCAACCTCTGATGCCCGTATCACTGATAATGTCATCCAGCAAAAGTCGTCGTTCAATCTCGGGAACCCCCATTCTGCCCAACTCCAATAACAACATTGAATTTTTCGGTCGTTCACCTCTCCGACCGCGTTGCCAGGTGTAACTTCATCTTCGTAGAAATAGACGTGCATGAAGTTTGCACTGTCGTCGAAGACCTTTGCTAGGACCGAAGCGAACTCACTGCTGCCCTTGCAGGCGACCTTGAGGAAACCGAAGGGATGGCACGCCCACAACTCCACGTCGCACGGCTGACCACGTTTGTTCACACCTTGCAACACGAGCTTCTGCAGCAAAGGTCCGTAGGTAGTCATTTGGAATGCTTCTGCCTCGCGCTCTCGTTGTTGGGTGGACCGCGAAAAGCTCTCTGGTATATCTGCATCTGCCAAGCTCCTGAGCAACTTAGCGAGTGCCGTGCCAGTAATGTGGCTCTCTCGCCCCATGTCCGACACGCGAATCTTCTTATGCTGTGAGCCGTCCATGGCCGTTGCCAGAACAAAGCGCAACAACAACTCAATAGAGCCTTGAGCCACAACGGCTACGGAGCATGGGTGGTCCAACCTTGTAGGGGGTCGGTTTCGTTATGTGTGTGTGTGTGTGTTTCGTCGGTGGCGCGCCGTTTACGACGTCGTCGGTGCTAGTATTGCTGTAACTGTTGATGCTGCTAACTGTATTGTTGGTATTGCACGATGCTGTTACTATCGATGTTGATGTTGCTGATGTTGTTGTTGACGCGATCGTGCTGTTGTTGTTGACGTTGCTGCTATCGTGTTGGTGTTGTTGTTGGTATCGTGCTGTTGCTGTTGACGTGTGTGTTGCTACCGTGGTGTTGTTGCTGCTATCGTGATGTTGTTGCTGCTATCGTGCTGTTGCTGTTGGCGTTTCTGAAGAGGAGACAATAGACTGTTAAAAGACGATGTCTCCCCAACGATCAGACCAAGAAACAGTGAGAAGACCACGTCGGCCGTGACTCGCTGCCCGCACGAGACGGTTCGGTGCGTAGGGTTGCATAACCCCCTGAAGCTTTCACCGTTATTTCAAGTTCCTCGGCCAGGAATAGGAGGGGGAGGAGGAGGAGGAGGAGGAGGAGGAGATGGGGAGGAGGGGCAGGCCGTCCGTCAGGGGCCCGCATGCGTTCTCACGTACACCCTCTGAAGCTCGATTCAATCGCTGGCGCGATTCCCGGCGAGCCCCGCGCACTCACACCGAAAGAACGCTGTGCATGAATCAACCATTGTGGCGATGCCAAAAGGCGGCGGCCGCGCCCCAGGCCTCCTTCGCTACTTGTTTGGTGGCGGTCGGGCTATAGCCCGCATCCGATGCAAGCTTCTTCGCTCGACAGTACACGTTCGAAGTGAACAGGTTCAGAGAGCGGTCGCCCATGTAGTCCTTCGTGAGGAACTGGGCGTAGTCGACACCACATGGGGATGCAATTCAATTCGCTGATCCTCATCCCCCTCCTCCTCCTGCTCCTCCTCCTCCCTGTCTTCCTCCTCTCCCTCCTCCTCGCCCTCCTCCTCCTACTCCTCTTCCTCCTCGTGTTTTTCAAAGTCGTTTGAACCAACCTGCTGGCCCCTCCTCCTCCTCCTCCTCCTCCTCGTCCCCCTCATCGTCATCCTCATCCTCCCTCCCTCTCCTCCTCCTCCTCCTCATCCTCTCCATCCCCAGTTGGTTCAAGCTCGCGTGAAGAAATCCTCCCCCTCTACCTGCTCACCGCTGCTGGCTCAACCTACTATGGCTCAAGCTATTTGCTGGGGCGGGGCGGTGTGTTATCTCCGAGGGCCTTTAGCGGCGGGCTTCTTGCACGCCGCAGCGGCTGGCTTCCTCGCCACGGCCACGCGTGAGACCTTCTCGGCCTTCATCGCCTTGGCTGGCTTGCACTGTGCACCGCCCCCGCCACCAGCATGACGCGCGGCGTTCTTCATCTCCTCCTCGAGCAGGGTAGCTTCATCACCGTCGCTATCGTCAGCCGCACGCCCAGCCGTGTCGTCGCCAGGCTCTGCATGACGTAGTTGGGACTCCACAGGGATTCCGCGAGGATCGTGAGGGACTCCATGCAGGACACGTACACGGGGAGGGCCATCAGCAAGTGCGGTGGCCGTTCTTGACGACGTGGGCTTGAAATCACACAAAGGGTTGGCGAAACTCTGTGGATGAACACGGGGCTGGTATTGAGCATGGCCATGCGTGCTAAAGTTTGGTTCGGTGTAGCCACAGTGTTGTCCGAGTCCGTATACACATGGAGGCTGAGGTGGCGACCATGGCACGATCGCGCCTGCCCTGGGGTCTGGCGTCGACGGGCACATCTTTGGAGCTGGGACGCCACTCGAGGCAGGCGGCGTGCCGCGCAGCGCTGCAGCTGTGCCTCTCGTACGCGTCTCGCCCAGGTAGCACTCGAACGTTTGCAGGAGCTCCGATGGGCAAGGCACTGGCACTGTTCCATTCTCGTAGGCGCGATTCTTCAGGACATCCTCGAGCGTGTTCGGGTCAATGGGGTACACCCTCCTATGGAGCGGCGGCCGACCATACATGCCCTCCAACGTTTTGACGCACCTCTGGATCTTCTTCGCGTAGGTCTGGAGCATGGAGGGAGTCGGCCGTGGCAGTGACGGGTCGTGGGAAGCAGCCAAGCATAGCGCTGCCCCGCGAGCTTGTACCCGCTCCGATGGGCAAGTTAAGCCCAGTCTATACATTCTCGTAGCAACCAGCTCCAACTTGGGGTACAGAGAGATACTGCTGTTCCGAAAAAACGTCCAATCTTCCATCGCGAAGTAGTCCTGAAGCTGGTCGCACTTCTGTTGCTTCCGAGATGCCTCATTGTTGATAACCAGAGTTGCAGCCGACAGCGCAGAAGCAAGAGCTTGGCGATGCTTCTCACGCCATGGGCCTCGACCAAGCTCGTCAATGACTTCTGTGGCGCCCTCCAGCGAAAGCCCGCGGACCGTCTGGAAGTGCATCAGCAGCTGGTTCGTTTGAGTCTCTAAGATCTTCTCGATGTCTAGGCCAGCATCCGTCTGCGCACGAACGAAGGCAACCCGCGCACGCACGAGCTTCAGAAGCCCATGGGGCGCGCAACCAGGCGAAGAGGAGTCGGTCATACGTGCAGCGAAGTCGGCTACAAAATTGAGCCACAACGGCTAAGGATGGCATGATGTATACAGCCTTCCACACAGTCATATATGACTGTCTGGAATAGCTGTGGGACGTGGCGGGATATGCGTGGCGTTCGGCCACAGAGCGGACCCAGACATTAAAGTGCGGTAGCCAACGTCGGGTATAGTGGGAGAGACACGGCCGAGAAGTGCCCTAACATAACCCTCAAGGGCCCTTAGGGGGGGGCTGTGAAAACCAGCCCAAGGGCCCGTAGCTGCAGACGGTGGGGGGGTGGATTGGCTACCACCGTCTTCCCCCCCTCCCCCTTCCCATCAATTACGGGTGTTGCCATTGCTACCGAAAGGCTCAGGACGCTGGTTACCTACGTCCGCCACATGGCTAACATCCCCATCCAGAGGCTCATATGCACTACACTATGCCTTCAATGAGGGCGCAATTCGGCCTTAACGGCACCCATGTGCACGTGGAACGGTACATCATATACATCCGGCACTCCGGAAGGTCTCGATGTTACAACCCCGATCTCAGGGTTGGAACATAGGTTACAACCCTGAAATCGAGGTTGTAACCACCGCTGGGCGGTTACAACAGCCAGATCAGGGGTGGAACCAGGTTCCAACCCTGAAATCAGGGTTGTAACATAGGTTCCAACCCTGAAATCGAGGTTGTAACATCGAGACCTTCCTGGACCCTCTCTCGTATGACAGTGTGTGGGAAGGTCCTACCCAGTGCAGAGTGTAGCATACAACGAGCTGGTCCAGCCCTCCTTGGGCCGACTGTCCAGCCAGACTTGCAGATCTAGCTTGCTTTTTTTCTCACAACAAAACCTGCCACACTCCCCCGCATGGTCGTCTGAGCGCGACAACTGGCACCCCCGCCAGCGTGCTTCACACACGCGCAAATCCTGCACTCAATGTGCGCCACCGTTCATGACTCCAGGTCGGACGCGAACTGCGGCTCGGCCTTGCCGTCAGGTGGATCAGAATGGTTCGTGACGTAATACTCCTCAAGCCTCCTCGCAATCTCGTCGACGTTGGACCTGTTGTGCTCGCTCACCTTCTTAGACTTGATGAACCAGTTGCCCCTGGCCGCGTTGTAGACCTTCACGCGAAGCGACTGGCGCGATGGAATCCACTTGACGTGCTCCTCGTAGATCTGAGGACGCCAGACTGGCTCAGGACTGACAGTACTTACCTTGGGCTTCTTGAGCAATATGTTCATGTTAGGCTCAGTCAGCTCGATGGAGACCTTCGCGCGACTAGACGCCTAGTCAACATCCTCACCGAGTGAGTCTTTCCATCATCCGTAGTGACGCAGACCGTGCAGATGCGAGCGACCTCGTCGGCCACCTCCCGTTTAGCAGCCTTCGGCAGAGGCTCTGCTCCAGACGTGTCCATCATGGACTCCCTCTTGGCCATCTTGGACCGCTGGTGCTCGATGATCAGTCGATCAGTCTCTGAATTCCGAAGTTCCGTGAGGTGATCAAGCATGCAGCATCTCGACGAGCCCAAATACCTTGTGAACGCTGAGGACTGCCTGTCAGCAACGACGAAGTCCACGCCGTCCACAGTCACGACCTTGGTCATCCAAGACACGGAAGCATCGACAGACACTTTCACGTAACCATGCTCGATGCACGCCATCGTGCGCGCGAGTGCCTCACAGTCGTATCTTCTAAACTGATGGTGGCAATCGCTTGAGCCAAAATGGCTACGCGGACGGAGTGCTTTGCTATTTTGGGGAGTGCTTTGATATGATGGGGATGGGAGTGCTTTGGCATGAACTCTCCAGGTTGAGGGAGTGCTTTGATATGATGGGGACGTGCATGCTATTTTAATGCATGGACGTATGCGTTGATGTTGGCGTAACAGGATATATGTACCTCCCTCCCTCCACTCCCTCCCCTCCTCCTCCTCCTCCTCCTCCTCCAGCCCCTCCTACTCCTACTCCTACTCCTCCGGCTCCTCTTCCGCCCCCCCTCCCTCCTAGGACTCGCTCAAACTCCTGACGCGTGCTTGCGTCGTCAGGAGTCGCTGTCAAACTTGAGTATCTGACCCCATGACGTGCTACACCCCCCGATGGTCCAACACCCCTGCTGTCATTATCACCGCCAACCTCGTGTACGCATCAATTCGGGTAACGCAGGACAGCCGCGCTACTGTGATGCGCGCGCTGCCGAACTCCACAGCCATCATGGGCCATGGCAGTATGATTCGCATATCGCTGAAATCTGCTGCGAGTGGCTGGGCGCGCTCGGGCCCTGACTGCATGCAGAGGGGCATGCGCCCCCCCCCCCCCCCCCCCCCTCATCTGTATTCAAGGGAGTGGCCGCGTTCCCGCTCACGCAAGCCAGGAACACGTCACTCCATATAAATGGGGGACGCGGGGATGACGAAGGGGGAGGGGTCATGCCCCCCCGCTCTTAGTTGTATCGCTGCAGACTGAAGCACGCGCCGCTTGAATCACTGGATCCCCGAGCATTCGGCGACTTGCGAAGTCTGTGCACCCCTTCTTTTGTTAGAGCGTGGTGGGGCGAGATTGGCAGATGGAGGTGTTCTCCTGCGTGCCCGAGGGGGGGAGGCCATGAAGGGGTGCACGTCTACCTCTTCCTGCTCTTCCTGGGCGGAACGCTGGACTCGGGCGCGACAGGCCGCTTCGGGCCATCTTGATCGCCTGCCTTGAAAAGTTCAACTCCAGGCTTCAACGGGCGCGAATTGGTGAGGATCGGGATCGTCACCTTAAAGCTAGACTGCCGCTCTGCAGCGGCACCCTCGTGGTCGGCCAAAGACACCTTGACCACCATGGAAGATAACTCCATGTTGACGCATGCGCTGTCAGGGGTCGGCTTCACCAGCCAGAAAGGGACAATGAAAGAGCGAGGCTGAGGGGCGCCATCTGAAATCTCGGCCCCTTTCGGCATGAGGAACACATGCTTGCCAACTGGGGTAGCATCGCAGAAGGCCTCGAGTCCCTGAGGCGCGACCTTGGGGCCAACGGACACAAGCGGCGTGAGCGGCACTAGGATGAGCTCACCCTTCTTATATTTAGCGTCAGCAACCACACTCTGCACTTTGCCTTTGCAAAAGCTGACGCTGACGAGGAGCAGCGGCGCGCGAGCAGAGAAGGCATGCTGCAAGCCTGCCTTGATCTGGGTCTTGGCCAAGTCGGAGCAGATGTCCTTGTGGTCCTATGCGGGCGGTCTCTCTCCTAAAATCTCTCGTCTCCCCTCCTCCTCCTCTTCCTCCTCCTCCTCCTCCGCCACCTCCTCCTCCTCCTCCTCCTCTCCTCTTCCCCTCCCCTCGCGCTGCTCTGGGTGGGGCGCAGCAGACACCACGTTGCGCGAATGGAGTCGTTGTATACTCCTCCTCCTCCTCCTCCTCCTCCTCCTCCTCCTCCTACTCCTCATCCTCCTCCTCCTCCTCCTCCTCCCCCCCCCCTCCGCCTCCGCCTCCTCCCCTTTCGTTTCCCCTCCAAATCCAGAGTGGTCCGAACGACTCACCTCCTCCTCCTCCTCCTCCTCCTCCTCCTCCTCCTCCTCCTGCTCGTCCTCATCTCCCTCGTCCTCCCGTCCCATCCTCTTCCTCCTCATCTTACCCCATCGTTGTGTTTCAAGTTCGTTTGAACAAAACCCTGCAGGCTCGGTCCTCCAGGGTGCCGGTCTGCAAGGAGGTGATCGCGTGCACGACGTCGTTCTCCACCACCTGGGCGTCTCGAAACAATCGCAACACCACCCCAGGAACATGTGTTCCTGGGCCGCTGCTGCGGCTGTTTCGAGCCGTAGTGCTAACCTAACACAGGAAAAATGACCGCACTCCCATTATTGGAATGAGCAGGCCTGAAACTCGTCCAACATCTGCCCCATCATCACGTTGAAGAGGCGGTGGTCCTCGGCGTCGCCGTCGTTGGTGGTCTCGTGGCCAACGGGCTGCAGCACCAGCTTGTCAGAGTCCACCTTCTTGACCACGTACTGCTCGTCGTGGCCCTTGGCCTTCATCTCGACGGTCGCGCCAACCACGAAGCCGTTCGACTCGCACTCGGATGCCAAGCCAGCCATGCTGAAGTCGCGAACGGCAAGCTTCTTCTTGCCGTCCTCCGATGCAACCTGCAGCCTTGGCCATGGCATCGTGCTGTCGGCAGCGGCTCGGTACTCGGCGATGACATTCACCACGAACTGCTCGCCCACCTCCTCGAGCGACTTGAACTCCTTGATGCCCTTGTACCGCTTGGAGTGCACAGTCATGACCATCATGCATTCAAACTGTCCCAAGAGCTTTGCACGGACGATCTCGTCAATGGGAAAATTGATCAACCAACGTTTAGCTGCCCGAAGCATGCACGCAGCTTTGATCACCTGGGGCTTCTTCGAGCCCTGCATCGCACCAGTGTCAGCTGAAGTAATCAAACGAGCTTCTCCATTTTTGTTGCAAGCTGCCTCTGGAGCGCTGAGGGATGCATTCAAGCATGATATGATCCACTCTGGTGCTTGTGCCAAATCGGCATCTGCGAGCAACCCGAATACTACTCCAGGCACCTTCCGACGAGCATCCATCAACGTCTTACTGTACATCTCCAGATCTTTAATATTTTGGTCGCCGTCCGAGTACCGCAGCACGAACTTGCACATCGCCGCCACGTGTGTCCTCAACGTTGGCTGGTCCCTCTCCAGCGTCTTCACGATACGTGGGATGTTCGGGTCTCCAGTCGACTCTATGTTGCGCTTCGCCCGCTGGTGGATCTTCATGAGCGCCTGCGTGGCCGTCAAACTCCGCTCAAGCCCCTGTCCACAGTTCGCTGCGTCTTGCAGGAAAGCTGCGATCCCAGGAATATGAGACTCTACCTGAAGATGGCTGCCCTAGGGCTCAACACCAACGTACCTCCCCAACCCGAGCCGAATCCCACAGTGCAAACGTTCACAGCTCCCGAAACCATAATTGTCACAACTGTGACGGCCGCCGTGGGTTTAGGCCAGGTTGGGGGGGTGACGAACAGATGGTGTTGGCCCTTGGGTAATGCCATCCAGCCTGGTGGCGCATGACGGTCCAGTGGAACCCTTTGGCCAAAGGTTCTGCGTATTCCTCGCAGATGGTAAGGACCTTGTCCTTGCTGATCTTCCCGTTCTCGCCCTTCAGACTCTCGACGAACGTTGAACAACCCTGTAGAACCGCTCGTACTCCAGCGTTCGAATGTCCACATGCTACTGAGAGCGCCTTCATTTCGTGAGCCTCGATGGAGGGGATCTGACCGCTTGACTTTTTAGCCAGCTCAACCTGGAACTCGTACTGCTGTTGTCCTGCAGGCCCTGGCTGGACCTCAAAACACCAAGCCTTCGCATTCACTTCGCTATAGCAGAATCCTGCGTGAAGGACCTCCTCTAGAAGGTTGTGTAAATCAATCGCGTCCAATCCATCACCAAACCGATTCTCTGGATGCACTCCAACTTCTGTAGCTTTGAGCCACATGGGGTACGCCAAATTGCTGGTCATAAGTATATCCACAATCTTTGCTGCCGTTGACTTTTTGGCAGCGATCACAATCTCATCTTCGCCATCATCGATCTCGAACCTAGCGATCTTCGCACTGATCAGTGGGCCAACTTCTCTAAGTTTCCTCTGGATGACCTCCATCTTAATCCAAGTGCGTGTCCGAATATGCGCCTCAAGCCCTCGTTGCCGAATCGGGCCTGGCTCCGCCAACGAAGCTCGAGCCAGAGCTATAGATGGACGGGACGATGGAGGGAGAGATAGATATCTTGTGTATAGCCTTCCTCCTCCTCCTCCTCCTCCTCCTCCTCCTCGATCCTCCTCCTCCTCCTCATCCTCCTCCACCTCTTCCCCCCCCGTCCTCCTCCTCCTCCTCCTCATCCCTCCTCCCTCCTTCTCCTCCTCCTCTTCCTCCTCCTCCCCTCCGCCTCCTTCTCCTCCTCCTCCCTCCTCCTCCTCCTCCTCCTCCTCCCTCTCCCCTTCCCCCTCCCATGTCAGTATATGTTAGCCATTTTGACTCAAGCCGATTTTGAAAGCCGATAGGGTCTCACGGAAACGCATACTAACAACTTTATTGTAATGTTGGTCGCATGCGGCCGCATTGTATTATCTGATATGCCATTCGTGTGGTACGCCTTTTTGTGATATGCACATCCATGTTGTATTGTGTTGTGCTCGTATCAATTGAAATGCGTGGTACATTGTACGTGTAATGCAACTGCTTACGACTACGTAACTATGTTTAGAACCTAGATGCGATCATCGCTAAAGTGTTTCTGGAAAGTCCGCGAAACAGATAGTGAGGATACGGTATCCAGGTTCGTATCTAGTGGATCATAGAACGTAAACGCTGTCGAACAGGCTATCCACTTAGCAAACGCTCGGAACAGGTTAGGCCGCTTCGAAATACTATCGCGGATATCTAAACGCTTTACAAACACTATACTATACAGATGCAAACACATACAACCAGCCCATCTATATAGCAAACAGGGCGGGCATTCCAGCGGGTGTCCGGGTGTCCGGGTGTCCGGGTGTCCGGGTGTCCGGGTGTCCGGGTGTCCGGACGTCCGGGCGTCCGGGCGTCCGGGCGTCCGCGGGTGTCCGGGTGGGGCGTCCGCGGGTGTCCGGGTGTCCGGGTGTCCGGGTGTCCGGGTGTCCGGGCGTCCGGGCGTCCGGGTGTCCGGGTGTCCGGGTGTCCGGGGGTCCGGGTGCCCGGGTGTCCGGGTGTCTGGGTGCCCGGGTGCCCGGGTGTCCGGGTGTCCGGGTGCCCGGGTGCCCGGGTGTCCGGGTGTCCGGGTGTCCGGGTGTCCGGGTGTCCGGGCGTCCGAGCGTCGGGGCGTCCAGGCGCCCGGGTGCCCGGGTGCCCGGGTGTCCGGGCGTCCGGGTGCCCGGGTGTCCGGGTGTCCGGGTGTCCGGGTGTCCGGGTGTCCGGGTGTCCGGGTGCCCGGGTGTCCGGGTGCCCGGGTGTCCGGGCCGCCGCCCGGGTGTCCGGGTGCCCGGGCGGACGCCCGGGCGGAGGAATAGTCAGATTGTGTCCAACATGTTCACAAGCCTGCATTGTAGCTAAACTGTGCAGACGGAGCTGGTCCGAAGACGCCTTCGGTTCTGCGGGCGTTCTTGTGGAGGAGCTGGGATAGAAGACCAAGGGCATCACTCTTAGTTTTTGCAGGATGCGGGACACCATCAATTCGCCCGCCCAACGGGCCAGAGGCGTGCTAAAATCTCAGGGGACTACTTAACAATATTTCTAGTTCGCGCGCGCGGGGCGGCCCCTGGGGGCCCCCGGACGAAAAGTACCCTGGCTGACCCCCGGCCGGGTCCCGGGCGATCCCCAGGGGGGAGGCTATTTTTCGCCACCCCTCACCAGGGTCGTGGCCTCCGAGGGGGTGGCTGCAATCGACTACCACCCCTCCCGCCCCAAGGGGCCCCCAAAAGCCCCCTAAGAGGCCCCAGGGGAGCCCAAGACGCCGCCAAGGAGCCCCAAGACGCCCCCAAGAAACCCCCAAAAGGCCCCCAAGACGGCCCCAAGAGCTCCATGGCCGGCGGAATGAGCGAAGCGATCCGCCGCCCCACCGGGAACGGCGCGTGAGATCCCCGCCGCATGGTCTGCACGAACTCAGCCCCCTCAATCTGCGCGCGCACGAACTCCTCGTACCAATACCCTTTCCTCAAAGCCCTTGCAACCCCTCCTGGGGTCCTCCCCGCGGCCTGCTCACTCCGCCGGCCCAGGGGCCACAGCTGCGGAATGAGCGCTCTTTGGCCATCACCTTCGCTTCAGAACACACCTCGTTGGCAACGTTCGATTTCAAGGCGCCGCCGGCCTCTCTCAGAGGCCTCTCCGGGAGCCCACTGACTCGATTTCGGAAGCCTCCAGACGCTCTCCTGGGGCGATCTTGGCCGTCCTCCACGCCATTTTGGTCCAGTCTGGCAGCCCGCCCACCTCTCCTCTGCCCACTTCGACTACAAAAAACGAACACGCAAAACAACCTCGTAAAACACATATGAATATGTCCATTCCGGCCTTGTCGAGCCTCTATGTTTGCCTCGTTTCGAACTCACGTGCGTCTTCGCGGGCTCTTGGAAGCACGTTGGAATCAGCGGGCGCTCTCTGCGGCTGTCCTCCACGCCTCCCGACACCGGCCTGGGCCGTCTGGCAGCATTTCTTGGGTTTTCTTGGGCCGCCCTGGGCGCGCCCAGGGGGTCCCTGGAGTCCCTTCTGAGGCCCCCAAACTAACTCGGATCTCGTTTGTACGCCTCTCCGTATGCCTCTTCCTTTCGTCCACACTTTTGCACACCCTCAGGCGTTCTTTTTAAATCATTTTCAGACTCTCTTAGGGCTTTCTGGCGTCTTCTTTTTAAGGCTTTCTGAAAGCCTTTAAGACCCCTCTTTCGTATTTTTCCAGGCCCTCTGAGACCTTATTGTCCAATCTGGCGTCTTTTTTAGGTCGGTAATTTTCCGGCTCTCTTGGGGCTTTCTGAGTCTTTAAGACCCCACTTTCGTATCTTTCCAGGCCCTCTGAGACCCTACTGTCCAAGAATACTGGGGGGGAGCCTTCCCTACTGTCGTACATTCCCGGCCCTTTTGGCACCATCTTGTCCAAGAGTACCGGGCCGGAACCTTGAATCCTTCCGCACCCTCACATCACACAGCCTGGCGCGCGCACGCTCCCAACAGACACCAGCCGGAGGCGCGGGTGAGAGGAGGTACACACCCACAGCACTAAGAGATTACTGACAAAGCCCAGCCAAAGCTGAGTGAACACCCCCGCTACATCCCGATTTGCCCCCCACGCAACCTCCGCGTTCCAAAAAAAGTGGGGCGGCGGTGTCTGCCCCCTCAGGGGCGTTCAATTAAATAATCCAAAACAACTCCCACTGGCGGACGCACGCGAACCCCAAGCTCGTAGCGTCTGCGTACCTCTTCCCCTCCTCCTCCTCCTCCTCCTCCTCCTCCTCCTCCTCCTCCTCCTCCAAGCGCTGATGTGGTCGATGTTGCAACCCCTGCTTCAGAACTGCAAAGAGAGTCCAGTCGCCGCGCCAGCTCAACACTTCGAACAACAATCCATGAAAAAGACGTGTGGCACCAATCATACAGGTCGGCGGGCACCAATTTCCGCGACAATGGCGGGCTGCTTCGCAGCATGGCCCCTTTGCGACCCCAGATGGCCTCCTGGCGCGCCAGCGTTCCTTTCCCTGACCCCGCGACTCCTGCAGCAATCCATGGTTCAAAGAGACACGTTAGAACTTACAACCAATACGAAGCTGGGCGACCGCCAAGAGCGGCTGGTCCTACACCACCCGTGCGGTGCCCGCGCGAGGCGCGTGGGCACTTGGGGAAGCAGCCGGACCCCGAAGTTGTTTCTATGGAGAGGGTCAGCGGCCATCGCACTGGGTACAAACCCACAAACCCCTGCTCTGACGTCAAAACTCCAGGACCGCTCGAGGTCCGTGGAATAATCTTTCAGGCCCTCGGATTTGGAGTGCTGGACCTGGCCAGAGCACGAGTTATCCCATCGTAGTAGTACCGATGTGCTGATGCGACACACCGAATTGCTATTATTACGGCGTCTTGGCGCCGTGCGGACGGTGCCGAGCAGAGAGATGAGCATGGCGGAGATGGGGTGCCCAGTTGCGAAGTCGACTACGCAGTGCTGTGATCCCAGCTTTGGACAGGAAGCCACCGTGGAGCATGGCCCAATGCAAAACACCCCGTTGATGTGTTAGCACCCCGGAACGCCAGGAGGTGCCCAGTCTCGCCGACCTGCCTGCCATCGCTCGCGCGCCCGAACGAGGCCAAGCTTTTGCCTTTTTTCAAGTCTGCGCCTCCGCGAGCGCGACGCGCCGGCAGTCTGGCCGCTGCCCGCTCCCGCGGGATCTCAGGCTGCGACTGGCAGGACGTGGCCTGGGGCGCCGAATGCCACTGCTCCGTTGGGGCCTGAGGACTGGAATTCCGACTCACTCCCACACTGCTCAAACTTCCTGTCCTAGAGGGGGGGGATTGCAGGTGGCTGGCAGGACGTGGCTGGCAGGACGTGGCCCGAGGTGCGAATACTGCTGTTCCGTTGGGGCCTTCGGACTGAAATTACAGGAACACGCAATGGCATAAACATGAAAACTTTGAGGTCCGCGCGGATTTCTCGGATCGGCGCTGGACGCCCCTCCATGGCGCGCGGCGCGCGCCAGGAGCGGCGCCGGAGGCGCCGCCAGGTGGGCCCCAACGCCGATCCGAGGAACTCGCGCAGACCTTCGAGTTCTATGTTCGAAACAGCGTTTGTTCCAAATGGAAGTGCGGCCAATTCTTGCACTGCTCACACTTCCTGTCCCAGAAGGGGGAACTACAGGTGGCCACGGAATATGATGTAGGTTTGTCTGGCGGCGGTGAGGCAACCCTTGACACATTGCTGCCCACATGTGATGTACAATGCCAATTCTACAAATTAGCATTACCCAGAACAAAACTGTTTGGGGCGCCACTTGGGGCCCACTTGAGAACCTCTAGGGGCCCACTTGAGTCGTCATGGAACCCTCTGGGGCCGTCCGGGGGGCCTCTTGGGGCGCCTTGGGGCCCTCTTGGACCAGCTGGGGACGATCTTTGAGGTCTCTTGGGCCGTCCTGGGCCGTCGGAACCCAGGCGTGGGAATTGCGACATACTGCTCGGCCGCCATACCACGAGCATCGCGTGCACAGGAACATCCAATACGCCATGCCTGCCATCCTGGGCCATGTGGCTGCGGGCGCAGCCATAACACTGCGGAGGCTCGTGAAATGGGGCAGTGGGGCCACGACCAGATAATCAAAAGGCTACAGGCGCCTGTCCATGTTGCAACAAGGCCACGGGACAATGCCACTGGGCCACTCCCCGAACAGCAACGGCAAAGGCCTTACAGCAGACAAAGACTGGACATTCCGCAAGAAGAGAACGTAAGCAGCTTCACGGCAGCTCGCGCGAGCGGCTCACGTGGTGGACGCCATGGGAACGCGGGCGCTGACTTGCGATCTCACGCGGGCATCCTGCGCACGACTGCCAGCGAGACAGGTTGTTCTAAGCGCGCTGTCCAGAGACAGAAACGAAGAGGACACAGCATCGATGGTATGCTCAAGCGGAGCTGATGTGCTGCAACTTTCACCAGCCTGGCGAACTTTGACTTCTAGGGCGTCACACGCCGTGGCAACAAGCAGGGACACGACGCCATGATCAAACCGCGACCCGAACTCTCGAACGCATCTTTGCGCGGGATGTCGTGCCCGGTCGATCCGCAGCGGTCTAGGGGGCCAGGAACGGAACCAACGCAGCCGCCGATACTTGGGACGCAGAGCGAAATAACAGCACTATGCGCCCCCCTTCGGGGCGCGCGTCCGAGCCGAGCGTGCAGTACAACACATCTTCTAGCATATCGCTGCTCAGGCGGTATGGCCAGACAGCGACCGCCGCCGAGCATGCACTGCACGATTTTCTGAAAAACGCGCGCACGCCGCTCTGGGGGGACCGACGCAGACGTGTAGTATGAGGATATTTGGGATACGCCGATTGCTCTCCCACGACTCCCAGGTGTTATGAGGGCTCTGGGCGAACAGGCCGATGGTTACCAATGCCGCTGCTCCATGGACCTCTGCGCGGCTGCGTTCAGACCAGGGGTCCGGGGCGAATCCACAGCCGCGGCGTCGAGGGCTCTCCGGGACCACCCGAAAGACGACAGCGGGGAGGGGGGTCGGCATTTGGCGGCGCGCACAAGGGGGTATGTGGCTGGGGGAGGGGGGAAGGCCTCTTAGAAGCAGGCTGTTTCTTAGAAGGCACCAGCCTTACATCTATACAGAAGGCCCACGCCTTCTAAGAAGCAGCCTCCTTCTAAGAAGCCTTCCCCCCTCCCTCTGCCCACGCCTGCGCGAGGCTGAGGCATGCTCTTCTGCCGTGACGCCCTGGCCTCTTGTCTGCAGGGGCAATGCGCGACCGCGCAGGCCGATCGTGCAACCGGCCATCGTTGAGCAGGGACTGACCGTCCCGGCATTCCTGCAGGCCTGCAACGACATGTTCGTAGAACCCAGACATGCTCTAAGAATACGAACTCTGCTCTTAGAACATGAAGCCAATGTGCTAGAACAAGAAAGCCCCAGCCTGACATGCTCTAAGAGCATTTCGTGCAAACCACACGTAGTTCTTGGACATTCTTTGGTGGGCCTAAAATTAGGTCGGGCCTGTCCCCCTATAGGCGGACTTTGGACGAAAAGTAGAAATTCCTTCAAACATACACACAAAAGTGCTCAAGCATGGTAAACAAATGCTCCCCATACTACTTTTTTGACTGTCTTTAAATATTCCCCCTGTGGAGGGACAGGCCCGACTTGAGCCTAAAACAAAGCCAGGACGCCTCGCCACTGCCTGACATCGAGCAGCCGAGCGATCGTCGGCGGGCAAGCCGCCGGCCGTCTGCGGAGCGGTCGGGTTTTCTGGCCTTCGGGCACCTCTGGGGGCCCATCATCGGGCCCCAGGACTATAAAACGTGATCCGAGGAGAAGGGGGAGGAGGAGGAGGAGGAGGAGGAGGAGGAGGAGGAGGAGGAGGAGGAGGCGAAAAAATACCCCTGGGAGAATGACGGGGCCCTTGAGGCCGCGGATTGAACACAAAAGTAGCCTGACGGAGGAGCCAACCATGTGCAGCTGAGAGGCCGTCCTTGTATGCACCGCATTCGGAGGAGTTCCCTACTGGACCACGAAACGTGTGAGGGGAGTGCCACAGTGGGCGCAGTGGGCGCACGCGACCGCTGGCATCTGGGCCTTTGGCAGAGCTCCGTATGGGGCGACGAAGCGTGTGAGGGGTGTACCAAAATGGGTACGGTGGGAGCATGCGAGCGCTGTCATTTGGGTCCTCGGTGTAGCTCCGTATTGGGCGGGGAAGCGCGGTGTGTGTGTGTGTGTGTGCCAAAACGGCGGTGGGCGCATTCGAGCGCTGGCATGTGGGTTCCACACTCGGCGCGGTGTGCGCATGCGAATGCTGGCATTTGGGCCTGCGGTGGAGCTCCGCATGGGGCCACGAACCGTGTGAGAGGTGTGCCAAAATGGATGCGGTGTGCGCATGCGAGCGCTGGCATTTGGGCCTTCAGTGGAGCTCCGTATGGGGTGAAGCAGCGTGTGAGGGTGTACCAAAATGGGCGCGCTCTGGGCACTCGAACGCTGGCATTTGGGACTTCGGTGGAGCTCTTTGTGGGGCCACGAAGCGTGTAAATGGTGTGCCAAAATGGGCGCGGTGTGCGCATGCGAGCGCCCTTCGGTGGAGCTCCGTGCACGTCGGTCGGACAAATAATTGAAACATGAAGTAGGGCAGCGGATGAGGTAGATTAGGTTCAGGTCCTCTCAGAAAATAACATCGCACAGCAAAAGCACATCGATTCTTGAAGTAGGAAATCGCTTGGAATAGATTGGGGCCTGCAAATCCACAAAATACATACT